GTTAGCATGTGAGAATCAAGAAACAACTCATTAAGTAAGAATTAGCTAAGATCCAACTGTTAGTCTTTCAAGTCTTTTCATACAAGGGAACACAGGAGCAGCTCCTATTTCTTAGGCTAGCCATATCTTCTCTGAGTGCGCTGCCACTGACCAAGATACACATTTAATCAGAGGGGTCTTGGCAAGAAGCACCATGTTACTTGCAGTCCCATTTGAGTCTCAGCCTCTAGCCTCCTAAACCTGTCTATCTTACACAGATGCTTCACAGCTGTGGATAATATTGCAGCTTGTTTCTCTTCTTCTCCTCCTTTCCCACTTTTCCTTTTCTCCTCCTCTGATGACTCCCTCCTTTTCTCTTCTATTATATCTTTTCCCTGCTGTCTCTTCTTCTCCTCCAATGTGAGTTACTTCCATTCCTCCATGCTGTTCTCCTTTGGCTCCATTCACTCCGTCTTTGTCACAAATGCTGAGATAAAGTGCTTTGTTACAGCCTTCTTGGTTCAAAGCAAAGAGGTGTATACTGGAGGCAAATATTGTATTTTTCTCTGTGTAGCCCTGAGAACAATCCAGCCGTAGCAAAGTACCACAGTTGTAGTTTTCTATAATGCCATCAAACTTGAGGCAGAATAGCCTCCACTTCTCTTTAGCTGATTCTCATTTGAGTTCTTCTACATCCACCACATCTACTTCGAGTTTCTTAAAATGCTCCTAGAATTCATAGTAGATCTGATCATTCACTCCCGTGAGTTTCAGGAACTGTGGGTCAACTGACGAAATCAATTTATAATACACTTCAGCATGCTACATTGGTCTTATAGCCCAAACGATCTCAATATCTGGATCATTGCCATAAGACTTCCCTGGGATAGAGAGAGCTTTTGCCACAGACACTGCCTCCCTGCAAACCGGCTCTTCCATGCCACAGGTTCCCTCCATGTTGTAGACAACAAAGTGCGGCTTCCTTTGTGTTTATACTATACTAAAAAGCATTAGCTATTTTAGGGACAAGAGAGATAGCTCTGAATTCTTAGCACCTTCTTGGAAAGTGCAAAGACCCAGGAATGATTCCCAGTATCACATGCCATGCTAGCCTGAAATCCCATGTGAACAATACTGGCTACTGATGACAAGTGTGGAGGCACATACCTGTAATCCCAGCTCTGGGAAGGCTGAGACATAAGATCACCATTTGTCTGAGCTGTGTAGTGAGAGCCTGTACCCAATAAATATATAAACAAAGATATTTTTAGTATTAGATTTTCATTGTGTAATTTCCAAAATTTGAGCACGTCCACTTTGCATTGTGTAAGTTTCCTCGGGTACAATATCACATTACTTCGACTATAAATTAAAATCCCCACCGGTAGAGCAGGTATATATTTCTTATGAGACTCAGTTATGTGATATGTATTTTGTTATTTTCTACATCCTTAATGCATGAAAGGAGACAAAGTTCTACTGATGGATATAATTGTTCACAATGAATCAGGTCTTTTTGCAAAATATTTCCTTCGATTCCTTCTCTATCATGAAAAGTAATTCAGCCTCTGTATGGAAATCTGTACATCTTAAAAATCATAACTAATTGCTTAGCTAGTGACTTCCGACACAGTCATTCTGAAGCCAAATGAGGTGCTGTACAATTATGTACAGTGAAAAGAAAGAGCTATGAAATTACTAAGCATGTTGAAATGTTTTTTTCAGTGAGGAATTCCTAACAAATGAGATGGGAATTATTGGTATGGATCAAGAATAATGATGATCCCTTTAATTTGATAGAGATTTGAACATATTTGGAAAAAGATATTTAAGCATGATTATTGGAAATCTCTAAATATACTCCATGAGTATCCACACCGTGCATCATTGTATTGTGGTAGAATTCAATGACTCCAACAGAGTATACATTCAGTATCATTATGGCTAATTAGAAACACTGTATGGCATGAGAATTGCAGAGGTGTATGTGTAAAAGTCCAAACTGACTCTGATTCCACTCATCTTGTTGTGGTGTCAGAGAGGACACTGCATATAATCTGAGAAAGGTTAAGAAAATTTCTGTTGCATCCCTTATTCAAACTAGCAAATTTCATCCCACTCCTAAGGCTATGTGAGGAACCATGTTAGGTTGCTCCTCACAAAATAAATTGAATTAACATATTTACTAACATTACTTACACATCAGGACCATAATATCTAAGATCTTGGTTAAGGCTGTTAAACACTTTCATGTCCTCTGAAGTCAACTCAAATTCAAAAACCTATCACACAAGTTGAAAATTTCTACTATCTTGTAGAAAGTGGCCTTAAAATAAAATAAAAATGTGTCCAAAAGTTACTGAAATCATAAGCAAGAATTTCAGTGAATATTTATTATCAGATAAGAAAGAAGAAAGAAATGTGTTATAACATAATATATTAAAACAACAGAACATTTCAAGAAAAAAAATTCATGTAGAGTTGTATAGAATCAAGCCACTATGGTGCAAAGAGGCTACTATCTTCTTTCTTAACATTCAGATTGATCTAGAGAGAAATTGTGAAGCATAAGAATTTCAGTAATTTTCAAGGAGCAGTTGGATTTTCATTTCTTATCAGTGAACTGTTCTTTTCCATGTAAGTCAGAACCAATGTTTCATTTTTACTGAAAATGAGCTGACTTAAAGATCTGACTCAAGGAAGATCTCATTTCTCCCTTTAAGTACAAGAGTGGATTTTATTAATTTTTAATGTGTGAGTATGCATGTTTCATTAATTCTACAGTAATAATTTGTGAGAGACATATGAAATTTACAATATTAACAATATAACACTGAGAGTCTCCACACTTTTATATTTCTTTCCATTAAAATGTGGTCACATTGAGTGTGGAGACCTATAACTATAATCTCAGCCTTTAACAATCAGATGCGGTAGGTTCTTCTGGGTTGCTGTGTCCTTGGCTGAAAAATGGCCACCAATTTCTTAGTGCATGAGAAAATCTGGTTCGACAAGTTCAAGGATTATGATGCAGAAAGGAAATTCTACGAGCAGATGAATGGGCCTGTGGCTGGTGCCTCCTGCCAGGAGAATGGTGCCAGCATGATCCTCCGTGACATTGCAAGAGCCAGAGAGAACATACAGAAATCCCTGGCTGGAAGCTCTGGCACTGGGGTCTCCAGTGGGCCTGGTGGAGACCATAGTGAGCTTGTTGTCCGGATTGCCAGCCTGGAAGTGGAGAACCAGAACCTGAGAAGTGTGGTGCAGGATCTGCAGCAGGCCATCTCTAGACTGGAGGCCCGGCTGAACACCCTCGAGAAGAGCTCACCCATCCATCGAGCCACAGCCCCACAGACCCAGCACGTGTCTCCCATGCGCCAAGTGGAGCCCCCAGCCAAGAAGGTGGCCACACCAGCAGAGGACGACGAGGACAATGACATTGACCTATTTGGCAGCGATGAGGAGGAGGACAAGGAGGCGGCCCGGCTGCGGAGGAGAGGCTAAGGCAATATGCAGAAAAAAAATCCAAGAAGCCCACACTGGTGGCCAAGTCTTCCATCCTCCTGGAGGTCAAACCTTGGGATGACGAGACTGACATGGCCAAGCTGGAGGCCTGCGTGCGCTCTATCCAGCTGGACGGGCTGCTCTGGAGTGGTTCCAAGCTGGTCCCAGTGGGTTACGGCATCCGCAAGCTGCAGATCCAGTGTGTGGTGGAAGATGACAAGGTGGGCACCGACTTGCTGGAAGAGGAGATCACCAAGTTTGAGGAGCATGTACAGAGTGTGGACATTGCAGCTTTCAACAAGATCTGAAGCCGAGGGCGCATGTGTGCAAGGGAGGCCCTGCCAAGATTAAAAACTGAGACTCCTCAAAAAAAAAAAAAATCAGATGCACGAGGTGGACCATCAGTTTGAGACCAGCCAGGTCAACATAGTGATGATAAGGTGAGCCTGAACCATATAATAAGAACCTGTACAAAAAATTTTAAAAGGTTATATTTTTTTTGTACTCTTTCATTCTTGACAGGCCTATAACTTGCTTTGGCCCCTTGAAGTTGACAAAATCAGTGATGTACAACATTTGATGCTGGAAGTGAACTTTCCGAATATCCACTCACTCCCTTCAGAAAATACTGGAAGATGAAGCCTGTGTAGTTGACCAGTGCATGAAATCTGTATGGAGGAGATCTGAAGTTCTTCATACCAAGGCCCAACCAACACCTGGAGCAGAAGAGGCTCAGTGTTGTGCAAATCCATAAGTTAGTTCACTGCAAAAACGTGAGAGATGCAAGTCTAGAAAGAACCAAGTGTGGGCAATTCCAAGGCTGACTAAAAATATGAGATTTTGAGTCAACGTTATAAAAGCTTTTGCTTTTACAACCACCTTAATAAATGTAGTGTGACTATATGCACATGCTATACCTGTAACAAAGTACAAGTACAATAGTAAGCGGTTTGATAAAATGCTCTTACTTGAAAATAAAAATACAGATAGCACAGCGGATTAAAGCATCTGTTGGAACTTCTGCTCTGCTGCACCTGCCAGATCCCTCCGGACCCAGCTGAAGCTTACCACGTGAGGGGGACCTTCCATCCTGCTCTCAGGACTCCTCCAAACCCAGGTCAGGTGGAGCATACAGGCCTGGTGTGAAACTCTGTAGCTGAAGTTCCTGCAGAGAGATGAGGGAACAAATCACCCAGCTAATCCAGAAGCAGCACATCATGCAAAAGTGACAAAGAAGGTTGCCTTCCACAACTACAGAAGTAAGAAGCTGAGCACATCAGCTAGACCAAAGCCAGGCACATTGGGATGAGTTCAAACTTCATAGATCCAGATTCATTAAGCTTGAGACTTTGCTAGATGAAAATCGATGAGACCGTCCTCCCTCTTATTCTCTTTACTGAGACAAGAGACAATGGTAAACAAGGTGAACTAGTCTTCCTGGAATACCACAGATACATGAAGGGAAGGTGAGGACACAGAACTTAGGGGAACTAACTTAAATCCAAATTCCCAATTTAATATCTGCTTCACTACATGCACATAATGCTTGTTCTTAATCTCTAAAATACAAGCCTATTCATTACAAAATTAGGTCATCTGCTAAATATCACTACCCATTATAAGTGTTCCTAATTGTACTTTTATAAATATAAAATTATAATTGCCTTAACAATATATCCACTTGGGTAAGAATTTTGATATTTGCTACACCAAACATCTACACCAAAGGTCAGAGGACAGTGCTATACAAAATGATAAAGAGAATGAGCAAAATGCAAACTCAGGCCACAAATCAACATAAAACAAATGTAGGAGACAATAGCACAGAAGAAATGGGGAATCACACTTCCAAAATGTCTGAATTAATAGCATGTGAAGTAAAGAAACAACTGAAAAAAAGGAATAGAGGAAATCAGATCAGAAATAATCTGTGAAGTAGAAAAAAAAAGGATGACAATAAAGAAAGAAATAATAACTGTGTCTAGATAAGACACAGAAAAAAAAATTAGGGGAGAATAGAGAAACGATGGAGTCCTTGAATGAGCAATATAGGAGAGAAATGCATTTCATGAAACAAAGTCAAACAGATATAGAGAAATTTAAAATCTGAATCATAAGATAGCAAAACCGTGTAAATGAAAGTGAAATACAATTTCAGATCTTGAAGACACTGTGACAGCTAGTGAAAACGTAAGTAAAGGTCTTTTAAAAACAATTAGGTTGCAGAAAATAGTAATTCAAAACCTGCGAAATGATGCAAAGATGTCCAACATGAGACAAGTAGGCTTCAATGAGAAAGTAGTCAATATAAATGATATAAAAAGAATATGGGTAGAAATAATAGCAGAAAACTTCCCAAATATGTGGGAAAAAAAATCTGACATTCAGGTAACTACAGCATATAGAAATTCAAATAACTTCAACGCAATTAAAAACATAATGAGACATATATTAGTCGAGATCCCAGAAATAAAGCAAAAGAACAATATACTAAGAGATGATAGAGAAAAGGAAGAGTTCACATTTAAAGTAAAACATATCAGAATAACAGTAAATCTCTCCTTACAAACCATAAAGTAAAGAAGATCTTGAATCAGAGTACTTCAAGTCCTCCATGAAAAAATTCCAGCCAAGACGACTATAGACTGCAAAATTCTGTTTCAAGTTTGATGGAGAAGTGAAATTATTCCATGACAAAAACACCTAAGAAATTTCATTTAAACTAATGAAAAAAACCAATGCTACACAGACTACTAAAATATATTCTAGAGAGGGAAGTATGCCAAGAACTCCATGAATGAGAAGGAAAGAATCCACAAAATAGGGCAACCAATTAAATACAGCAGAAAATGTAAATAATAGCAGATAAGTAACATGTCAATCATAAGTACCTCTCAATTATGACCATCAATGTAAATGGACTCTATTGACCAATAAAAAGAAATAACTGGGGGAGTGGATTAGGAATCAAAATTGAACAATATACTGTATACAAGAAACACACTAAACTCATAAAGAAATCCATAGGCTGAAAGTCAAAGAATGGAAAACAATACTACATGCTTCAGCACCTCAGAAAAAAGAACAAGTAGCAATCCTATTCTCACACAGTTTATACTTCAAACCAAGAATGACCAAATGAAATAAAGAAGGCCACTAGATGCTGGTTAGGGAAAAAAATTCAAGAGGAAGAAGTAACACTGATAAATATGAATGCACCAAACATTGGTGCACCCAACTATAAAAGACAAATCTTAATGAAAAAGAAAAATCTAACATCCAATACCTCAATTTTAACAGGAGACCTTACCACCTCATTATACCAAAAAGATTGGTCAAAAAGACAGAAATTACCAAAAAGTAGATGAAGTGAAACAGAGATTGGACAAAATGGACTTAGTGGACAAATACAGAGTGTTCCACCCAAGCACAGCTGAACACATATTTTTTTTCTGTTGCATATGAGACATTTTCTAAAATAGACGACATACTAGCCCATAGACCATAATGAAGTATATGCAAGAAACAACAATTTATCCGATGCATATTATCTGACCACAGTGCAATGAAATAGGAAATAAATGACAAAGGAAACCAGAAAAAAAGTCATACATACATAGAAATTAAGAAACACCCTCCTCAGCATTTAATGGATCACAAATGAAATTAAAGGAGAAATTAAACAATGTCTAAAATTCAATGACAATTCAAGCAAAACTTATCAGAATTCATGGGATGCAGTTCATAGGAGGAAATTTATAGCCATGAATGCACACATTAGGAAAACAGAATGGTAACACATATATACCCTAATGCTATATCTCAAACGTCGAAAAAGAAAATCCAAACCCAACTCAAAGAACAAAGATGTGAAAAAATTTATAAAGATTAGAGCAGAAATTAATGCAACAGAGATGAAGAAGACAATACAAAGAATTAAAGAGTCGAAAAGCTGGTTCTATGAAAGACTAAATAAAATTGATACTCCCCTATTTAAACACATTGAGAAGAGGATAGAAGAACCTCAAATTCAATCAATAAGTAATGAAAAGGGCGAAATTACAACAGATCCCATGGAAATTGAGAACATCAGCAATAGCTACTTAGAGAATGTTTACTCTCATAGAATAGAAGACATAGAAGAAATGGACAGATTTCTAGAAAAGTACAAGTTCCCAAACTGAATGTAGAAGATCTAAAAACTCTTTTTGTTTTCCATTCAAAATGAAGTTTATTTTTTCCCATACCCTTATTGATAAACAAATAGTAATGAGACAGTTTCAAATCAAACTGGTAGGACAGTTTCAATAATTAACACATTGCATACATTCTTCCAAGTGGTTAATTGCTATACAAGACGCGGACATGATATCCTATTTACAAACACCATTAGAAAAAAATCACTCTATTCATTAAGAGAATGTAAGTATATATCTATCCTAACCATTTTGAATACACAGATATAAAATGGACATTCATCTGTGTACTGTTTTTTTGTTAAGTTCCGTTATTTGAATATAATAGGTGTGTAAAATCAGCAAAATATTCTAAAAGAGTTCAGTAGCCCATAATAGTATTGGGTTTTCTGCTTGACTGGCAATGTCAGAAATTGTTGACCAGGAGACCCAGTCCTAGCCCAGGTCCGGTGAGTGTGTGGGAGAGCTTCCTGCTACCCTGCACCAGCAGGACCTATTACTGGTTCCAGCACAGGCGCAGCGGGAGTGAGACCATCTTCAACCCCCTTGCGACACCCCCAAACACTCCCGAGCACCTCCTGCCAGCAGAGAAGAAATTTCTTTCACGTTCAGGGAACTCCCAGACCCAGGCCTAGCCCAGGCCTGGTGAGTGTGTGGGAGAGTTGCCTCTCCCCCCTACTCCAACATGTCCCCGCCAGACTCAGTTCAGGCC